CCCAGGGCGCCAAACAGGCTAGGACCGCCACTGCAGGGCAGCTTCAGTGTCTTTACAATACTTCTACATCCTATCTAACACATTTCTAAATCCTAAAATAAGCTAAAAATATCTTCGCCAGTAAGTGGCAGTAACGGCTAGGACAGATGGTACAGTACTCTCTTACAAAAGTAGCACAGACCAGTCATGGCACTGAAAGCTCACAGTATCACAGACCTGCTATTTTGCTGTTATTAAGTGAGAGTAGTATACAAGCACTATACACAGTTTTTTTTTTTTTTTTTTAAGTTGATACTTCTTTAAAGTAGAAAGGTGTTTAATGTGACAAAGTAAGGGGACAGGGTGCGTGGAGGTTATGGTTGTGCTAGCTAAATCATGTTAGTTCTATGTTAGTGACTTTTTAACTGTATTGTCACATCAGGAATAAAAGAAAGTAAATGTAAATGAAAATGTAAACATGCATTCCTGACCTAAAAAAAAAAAAGTTATTTTTAAATCTGACAATTTTTGTATTTTAACACTTCTGTGCTTCACTAAAGGCAAATATTGTCATTTTTAGTTCTGTATTCATTTTTTGTTATTTTTTATTAACCTTATAATGCCCTTTGTATGATATTTGATACATGAGTTTATGAGACCTCTATCTCATCAACATGATCAATACTTGCCATAATTTCAAAATGTTATGGACAAAACTCTTTTTTTGTCTAAAATTAACATTGTTGTTAACAAAATGTTGCCAAAAATGCCCAATGTATGAAACACTATACAAAAAATATATAATAAATACAAAAAAAATATCATGCACATGATATAGCAAAAAAAACACTTGTAGATTTTGTCATAAGGGTAATAAACATCTCAGTTCCAATCTGAATTTTCTGACTATTTTTTGATGGGTTGGGTCTTACAGGGCTAATGCCTGGTTCTGATAGTTGTTAAATGCATCCCATGAAATTTTGTTGTGTGATAAAAATCTCTCTCCATGTGTCTTTGTGTCTCTCTCTAAATTACTATAGAATGTAATGAATGGCTCATAGTAAAGGGGAAAGGGGGACAAGACATTTTGGAAATGAATGAAATTTCAGACACAGATAACCCGATTTTTTTGAATTATGATGTCATTTATTAATGGAAAAAGTTATTCAAACCTACCTAGCTCTATATGAAGAAGTAGTGTCTTTCTAAACTTAACAAAAGATTGTTCCTTACTTAGCAGCAAAAAATTGCAATCAAGATGTTTTAAATAACTGAATCACTGTAGAGGAATTTTGGTTCACTCTTCATTGTAGAAACTGTTTTAATTCAGCCCCATTGGAAAGTTTTTCAGTATGAACTCCTTTTTTAAGAGCATGCCAAAGCATCTTAAGATGATATAAGTACAAACTTTGAGTAGCTACTCCAAAACCTTTATTTTATTTATTTATTAATTTTTTAGCCATTTAGTGGTGGAATGACTGTTTATTTTTTGGATCATAACATACATATCTGTAAGACCTTTGAGCATAATTTCACCCCATTACATCCCTCACCACAATCTTCCCTCTAACTTGTAAACACATGTAGCTTCACTCTACATCTTGCCTGCAAACAGTAAGGCATTCTCAAATCTTATGGAAAAACATCTGGAAATGATCTCAAAATATTTTTGTTTACTTTGAATTAACATCGATATTATTTCTCTCTCTATTGTTTACTTAGTGGAATAAATAGTAGTTCTAAAAGAAAGAAAAAAAATGACTTTTTACCATTCTGACAAAACAGAAATGAAACTACACATCTACAACGACACATCAAGAAAGAAAGCACAAATAAATTCGAAAAATAATCAACCTACACTAACCACAGTAACAATAATAATAATAATAACAATAATGGATTGGATTTATATAGCGCTTTTCAAGGCACCCAAAGCACTTTACAATGCCACTATTCATTCACTCTCACATTCACACATACACAGTAGATAGAGGGTAATGAATTTTATAATGTAAACTCAGGAGCAAATAAAATGTAGTCTCTCCTCACAGTTGTGTGCCTTCCAAGTACCCTTGCGTCCAACTGTCACCTGTAAGGCACCACACCTCATCTTGGCATGTGGACATGATGGTTTTCCCTCTTCACCCCAGGCCTCATAGTCCATCTCCTGCCCGTCCATCAACAACCAGTCACCAGCCAGGAAACGCAATCCAATCCAGACGTGTTCAGTGGTGTTTTGTTTGCTCAGCTCTTTCTGGATCAGCAGCATCTCAGTCTCAGACCCCACACTGGCCAGGTCATCGTGGTGCTCCCTGCAGTACTCCAGAGCTTCCTCCCACGTCTTTTCCTGCTTCACCACTGCTGCACTGTAGCAGAAGAAGGTCATTTTATACCATAGGCCTCCATCATACCACTTGCCTTTCCACAGATAGCCATAGTCTTCTCTATTATAATAGTCATTAGGTTCACCTTGTGCCCAGAAATACATGGTTGGTGCTCCACCTCCTGACCACAGCCATTCTGTTCTGTCTGAAGAATTTCTTACCAGTCCGATCCAGATAATGTCATTGACATTGCTGGCGAGTTGCTGAAGTTCATTATTATCCCTCTTATTACTGACAGGAGCCAGGTCTGTGTAATGCTGCTGACAGTAAATCTGAGCTCGACGCCAATCCATTTTCTGATTAATGTGAACATACTTGGAAAAAGTGCCAGATAAACTGAGCAGGAGCAGGATGAAGGTAAAGATCTGATCCATTGTTAAGTTTCTCGAAAGAGTCCCTCAGAGCATTGAGGATCCAAAAGGTTTTGAAAAATATATGCTTGAGCTGTGAGTTTTGCCTTTCAAAAAGAATTTGCATATCAAGACTGCCCTTTTATTCTTGGAAAATGTTTCAACAACACAGGAAAACACACCTATTGGTCACTTGTATTTGTTCAATTAGCTGATGAATCATCAAACAAATTTATGCTATTTAATTAATTAAGTGTGTTAAAAGCCGAATGAAATTTTAATTTCATGCATGGAGCTTGGAAATTTAGGAACTTTCAAAATATCTTTTTTTAAACTTCTAAAAGCCAATAACAGTTTTGACACTATTATATGACAGAAGGCTGCAACCACAAATATGCATAACATGGACTTGAGTTTTGTTTTAAAGGACTTTAAGGAACTCATCACTGTGAACAAAAACTACGCTCAGAATGTGATTAATATCTCATCTATAAAAGCAGTTGAAAACAAAATTTTAGTCCAGTTAATTTCAAAATTAATATTATCAATCAAGTTTTCAATTTCTGAGCTGACCAATAACCGTGCTGTTTCAACTGTTTATCAACAGGTCAATCTAAAGTCCAGGTTTCAATTCCACGTTCTAATCCAGATAGTAAAACTGAGTTTTTCTTTTTCACTGACTGTATTTAGTTTCTGTGCCAGCTTACTGCTAGTATTCATTCTGAATGTGTCATGGTCCGACAGCCCTCGCCTGGCTGCCTGCCCATGTGTTATTGTGTGCATGTCGCTCCCTTCCCCTCTCCCTCTCTCTCTCGGAACGGGATTGTTTACCTCCGAGCGGTGACGAGCATTCCCGAGAGTGTTCCCGAGCAGAGACTGGCTGCACTTGTTGTCGATCGGAGCCGACCAGCTTTAGCCAATTATCCGCCATCTCCCGGGCTGCCTTCTTAACAGGGCGATCGAGCTTCGATCTGCGCTGGATCATTGTGTGAAGCACAGTAGAGCAGCGCGGATGGTTTTTGTGGCAGTTATGTTGATCTGAGGATTGTTTAGTTACTCCGTGTGTGTTTGCCACCAGGAGGGAAACGGAGAGAGAGATCACGGGAGCTGGACCGCCACTTGGGATAACTGATTGGAGGGAGTCACTACGTGTGTTTTCACTTCACGGCCACGAGCACTGCTAGTAGGAAAAGGAGGATACCCCACCTGGGCAGCCATCACTATATATATTATTGAACTGTTGCACCTTTACCGCACTGTAAATAAATCCACTGTCTTCTCCCAAAGGAGTCCTGCATACAGTCCTCTTTTCTACACCCACCCTGACAGAAAGTTTCGCAACCTGTTAATTCTAAGACTGGGTTTTCTGGCTCAAAGCTAGCTGTTGAAAATACAGAAGTGGTTGCTGAGCTGGCCTTTGTATTTTGAACTGGAGAAGATGGCTCCTAGGGGCCATGTCCTAGGTCAGTGCATGGCCCCCCCAGATGCTGTTTGTGTTCTCTGGCAGCCTACTTTAGTCCCTCTCTGCCTAAGCCCATGAGTCCAGAGCCTGTGGTGTCAGTGTCGCCAGAGCTCAGGCCAGTGGGTTTTGTTGCCTATGGGTCTCCACCTTTCTACAGGCCAAGCCTCGGGATGGGTTCTGCCTTTCCTCCAAAGTCATCTTTGTTGTCAGCCTCTTGAGGGTCTCCATCTTCGGCAGCCATCAGTAGGTCTTTGTCACCGCTGTCTGTCTCCACGTAGGCCTCCTGAGGTATCCTGCGACCTCCAGTGACATCTTGCTTCTGCCATTCTACCTGTGGGTCTTTGGCGCCATTGCCAACCTCCCAGACGGCCTCTTGCGGTTCTCTGTCTCCATCTGTGATATTCATGTCGGTCTAGGGAGTTGTTCCACCTCCGCCACTATCCTCCCAGTTGCCCTTTTCTTCTGTTGGTCTTCAAGTCAGTTCCCAGAACTGCTCCGATGCCCCTTGGCAGGGTAGACCACCAGAGACTTTAGAAGTCTACTGCTTACTGTGTCTTTGTATTTTGGAAAGACTGCTTGCCAGATGGCCACTACATCACACACACACACACACACACACACACACACACCAAAAAAGTACATAATAAAACATTCACATCTTTCTTATTAAGTATTACATGAGCTTATCAAAACATGAAGTTGAAAGCTTATGTATAAGCACTCTAGTTTATATTAGTTATTGTTGGGCTGTTAACTGCCATGCTGTTAGTTACTGTAAGTAAATTGCCAAATTATTCAACTTCTTTTACAACAGCTGAATCTAACCACACAGTCAGGAGTCCTAGATTTAAAAACCCTAATCAAGTTGACAAAAGACCAAGGTTATTGGAACAAGATAAACAAAACATTTAGTTTGCATGAGGCAAAAGTGAAGTTTTATTGGCTCCATAATCGGACAAACAAATCAGTGTTAATAAACAAGGCAAGGACATTTTTTATAGTGTCACATCCTACTTGGAAAAAAAAAAAATGAAGAGGTCAAGAGAACCGACTGAAAGAACTGAAAACAGTCATCATATTATGTAAGAGCAATAGAACAATTTTTCTTTTTTTAATTCAGCATCTTGCAAATTTACCTTTTAATACCTTGAATTGGCCTGAGGCATGACGGGCACTGTCATCTCAAACTTCCACTCCACCGCTCCCGCAGCAGCTAAACCACAACCACACCCTGCCACCACATGGCCTTTGTTCTTTTTTGCATTATTTCTTTGCTTATATTGTCATTATTATGTAGTTTTGTGTGGAACTGATATCAGCAAAGATCATAGAAATGTCTCTCTGTATTGTGACTGAAGCCTTGTCAGCAGAAGAATCTTGTAAACATCAAATATTCTCAGCTCATTTCATTCTGTGTTTAACAATATTTGATACTCTCAAGTCACAATTAGCATTATTTTGACATCCCTGAAAAAACCTAAGTGTTATTATCAAGTACCACAGCTTTCATGCTTCTCAGTTTTTTCAGTCATTCCAGTGCACCACATCCATTTATTATTTCATGACTGAGCAGTAGTGGCTTTAACGATTTTATTCTGTGCTGCCCTCTAGTGGGGTTTTTTGTGGTTAAAAACTGCTGCTCAACCAAAAATACATTATTGTCACGGCTGAGGAGGCGAGCCGTGTGGTGTGGAGGAAGGAGGACCCAAGATGCAAGCAGTGGATGAAAATGCTAGTGAAGTTTATTTACAAGGTGGTGTAGTGGCAAACGAGCAGTGGGGCATGACAAAATAACTGAAGACACCTAAACTGGGAGAACTAAAATAACAGACCTGGGAGCATACGACAAAGGGGAGCATACGACAAAGGGGAGCGAGCAGGACAGACGAACCGGCAACAGGCAGGAGAACACACAGGGCTTAAATACACACACCAGTAATCAGGGGATGAGAGACAGGAGGGCAACACAGCTGGGAGGAATCAGAGCTGACGGGACAGGGGAAACGTAAACTGAACACACTCACATCAGACAGAGACCTTCACAATAAAACAGGAAACTCAAACACGGGGAACCAAACAAGACACAGAACTAAACAGACAGATTCACAAACAGACGGGGTGACACCATAGACAGACAGAGACACAGACGCAGACTCAGAGGCAGACCGAATATAACACATAGAACTCAAACAATAATAATCATCATCATAATAAACTAGAAAATGATAATAAACTAAAAGCGCTGGGTCACCGACCCAGGACCATGACAATTATCTTTACAAATGTGGCACCATTTAAGAGGAAACAAGCAGGGTTTTCAACAGTATAACATTTACTGCCAAGAGGCATTGTTACAACAACAAAAATTAATTGACAAACACACGAATTTCCTAACTTTTGGTGCTAAATTTAATGGTAGTTAAATAATTGAAAGTATTAACTTGTTTTCTCTGACTCACATAAAAGAGTCAGAATTTAAATCCTTGACATCCTAAACATTGTTTTTCCTTGTCATATAAACATAATTATCTCAAAGCTGTACATAGAAAAAAAAATAACACTATGAACATTCTGCCCACGTAATTATTAAATATTATACCATCTTGTCAAGTAGAATAATGTGAAAGCTTAATGTAAGTACCTTAAATAAAGTTAGTTTAAATTAGTTGCTAGTACAGGGCTCTAGAGTGCGACCAATTTTTCGCAAATGCGGCCAAATTTTTCAGTGGTGCGACTAAAAAAAAAATATTTGGT